TTTTAAAAAAATAACTCTATCCTCTTATAGAGAGGGAAGACCACCGAAGAGCGAGAAAAAACATTTTTTTTTTGTTATTACAAACAAAGGATTAATTATAACTTTAAAAGTTTTTGGTGGGCCATAAAATCCAAAAACTTTTAAAGTTATAATTAATCCTTTGTTTGTAATAACAAAAAAAAAATGTTTTTTCTCGCTCTTCGGTGGTCTTCCCTCTCTATAAGAAGTGTTTTGTTCTTAAAGGCCTTTAAAGGCCCATGACCCTTTTAAAAAAGCAGCGGTTTTAGAAGGCGTTATATAAAAAACAATGCTTTGAAGTGTTTAGCTAAATCTATCTCTATATATAATAGTTGGGTTTAAAGGTATGTGGCAAAGACACCTAGGATCTATATCATCGTCCATATATAATTTATTTTAAATTTTTAGACACGTGTCTTCCTTGTCGTGTCGTATTTTATAGTAAGCTATTTTTGGATCATTTCATAAAAAATAAAAAATAAAAAAACTAGAGAGAGGCAGATCATATGAAGATCAGGGCTTGTTGCAACTGGGGTCCACCATGGAACCGATGGGCCTGAAGATGTAAGGCTGGCCTGCGTAAGTGAACTGAGCGGAAGCTTTGGCGGGCAAAGCATCTCCTTTTACCAGAAGGCAACTGTCTCCTCCAGTCGCACGTGTTTGTCACCGTCACTTTCCACTCCACTTCTCCCTCTATCTCCCTCCCGGTTCTCTCCGTCCCGATCTGAATCCCGCTGTATGTGCAACCCCTTCCTGTTTTTTCGTTTTAATTACGTTTCCCACGCGCTAGTATATACAATATATATATATATATATGATGCATTAACCACACATACATACCATATTCTATATGTGATGTATAGACAATCTAATTTAGAGACACATATAATGTTTGATGTTTTTTATTTGTTTGTAATGCATTATTTTTTAAGTTTTGTTTGTTCATTGACCGGTTATAACCGATCTGAATTGAATTATATATATCACAACAATCAAGTCAAACCAAACCAAATCAAATTTATATTTGATTATTATTCGAATATAATTTTTCATAGACCTAATTATATCCAATCGTAACCAAAACGAATCAAACCGATTAAAATCAACTAACGGTTCCAAATCAACCGAATGCATCCAAACCCTATGTGTGTATGTATATATTAGAAATCAAAGGAAGAAGGACATAGAGTTTTTCTTTGTACCTCCACTAACCATACAGAGAAGAAGAAGAAGAAGAAAAGCAGCCAAAGATTTGAGAGGAGCCGCCATTTTTTCTCTGGAGTTTTGATACTTCGACTTTATGTTTTCGAGTTTGGCAATTTTTTCTACATATACATGTGCATATATATATATATATATGTGAAATTTACATATATATTTAATATTCAAATCCATTGTATTTAACTAAAGAGCAGATTCATAATTGCACAGGATCTAAAATATATAGAAAGAATCATTCATTAATTACGTTTTTCCATTTTGCTCATTTACTGGTCAAAATAAATTTAATTTATTTTTTAAAATGATGGTTACACGAAACGTATGCAACCTAGATTTTTATTCCATATCTAGAAGAACTGAATGAGGAAAACAAAATATTTATACAGAAACCAATGTGTGTATATTCCATTAATAGATTTATTTGTCATTAATGAGACGAGATTTAATCTCATAAAAAAATGGAAAGTGCATTTTAACGAATAAGGAAATACATATTTATGTAGTGCGTCGCAAGAACAATTAACTTATACATATTAGGAAACTGAATGTATATTTCCTATTTCAAAAAAAAAATTCAATGGAAAGGGTAATTCTACGAATATACCCAAATTGTTACACAAAGCGATCATACTAATGGGTATATACCCGTATTAGTATTTAAAATCCAATCTTATATTTATGAGTGTCCAGCCTCATAAAATGTTCAAGTAAATTCGGGTAACAAAATCCAAATATTATTAAAAAATTAAAAATAATTATATAATGTTTAATAAATATCAGAGATGTTTTTCAAATTTAAAAATAATCATAAATTTTGACATATATATACATATATATACATATACATATATATAAATATAATGATTTTATGTAATTAGTTCGGGCATATTTATATAAAATATATCCCCTTTTATTGTTAATCTTTGTTTTATAAATCTGAATTCGAATTTGAGTCACTCGGCCGCATGAGAATAGGGTAATTTTGATTATCGACAAGGGTTTATTCAAATAAATTGTAACAACTCAAGCCGTTAAAACCCTAATGACATATCATAAACCGCTCGCTCTCTCTCTTATTACGATTTTGCAAATCAAAATCTCATGTTTTTTTTTTCTAACAAGAAGATGAAAAAGATACTTATATATATATATATATAAGAGTATAAAGTAAAAATCTAAGAACAATGGGGTTGACCAGAGAGGATCGTGAGATCGAAGCTGGAGTCCCAAGCGTAGTTGAAAGAGAACACAGACATAGGGGCAAGAGGGGAGCCGCCGTTGAGTAGACATTCATCGCCTGATTTGGACATAACAGAGCTGTCTATAGAAGACGTAGACTGAAACCCGACACAAGACAGCTTCAAGTTCATAACGGTGCATGGGCATGGATTCTTCACACTCACTTTCCACTCGGGTTTGCCGTTCACCGTCTGCCCCGTCTTCGCCTGCCCCAGGCTTAGGTTATCCACCGAGCATTGCCCGTATCCTGCCCGTTCGAAAAAAAAAACCCGGCGAAATTAGCTTTTAATATTTCGATATTGTGAAAACAAATATATCTTTAGTGATCATAGTTAAGGACAAAACATAATACGATGCCACTTTGATATATTATTATGTTTATGTTTTACCGTACAATATAGATGAAAATGTAGTAGGAACAATGATCTTGGATGCAAAGAATTCTTTGATATGGACCAAATTTTGAAACGGAACATTGATGTGGCTTGCACGTATATATGCACATCGAT